CCAACAGCAGAGAAAGTCCACTCCTGCCTGGCCACCATCTTTATTTCACTTGCCTAGTGATACCTAGAAGAGGGTCTTCAGAGATGGCCAAAGCATCTGGTCCGTGCCCTCCCCCAAGCCAACTTTAAAACCTAGAACTGGGCCCACAGTCGGACCGCCAACGGGGCAACGGATGAGACCTTAACCTCACATAATCCTATCAGTCAGAGCTGGACATGTTTTGGATTCCATGGGAAAAGGCTGATTTGGAGGGCCCAGGGGTGTGCATGTCAACAAACGATGACCTTTCCTGGCCTCATCCTGCAGCTGCAGATGTCATTCCAGGAAAAGATGCAGCTGCTTTAAAGAGTTGCCAAAAGGTGCCATGTTCACAAACCCACGTGTAACATACACAGGGAATATCCCAGGCCAATTAGAAGTGTGAAAATAAACGATAAATAATAATGTGAGGGGGATGCGATAACATAAGGAAGTTTCTTTGCTCTTTTACCTTATTGTACTTCTATTTTATGCTTTTCATTGTAGTTTTATTTAATGCTTTTTATTGTTTACTGTATTTTAATTTTCCTTTTACTCTGGCTTTAATTTTTTTAAGTTTTTGTATGACTGTTACATTTCTGTCTATTTACCAGTCATATCTATCTATCTATCTATCTATCTATCTATCTATCTATCTATCTATCTATCTATCTATCTATCTATCAGTTTATCAATATATCCCATTTATATGGTTGCCCACCATAGACAAGATGACTCTGGATCACATACTGAAGAAAGAAAGGTCAAAACTAATAAATACATAACTCAATACATACAATTCAAACCAAATAAATAGCAAACACAGCTGAAGTATATTATAACTCCTAAAAGATCGATCTACTCATTCTGGCCCAAATCTCCTCTTTCCTTTTGAACCTTAGATCCTTCACAACCCTCGAAATGAATCTGACCGCTCTATTTTGGATTAAGATGCACATCACCCGATTGTGCTGATCCCCATCACGTTCAACCCACTGCTTTTTTCAATGGAAACGATTTAGATCAGTGCTTTTTCAAACTCAGCCACTTTAAGAGGTGTGGACTCTGTGCTGGGGAATTCTGGGAGTTGAAGTCCACACCTCTTAAAGTGGCCGAGTTTGAAGAACACTGGTTTAGATCATTAGCGCGCCCCATCCTTGGAATTCACATAAAAGATGAGTCAAGTTGCGGATGGGAGAGGACCATGTTGTGCTGGGTGGAATACCTGTTCTGGATGTCGACAATCCTAGGTTTAATTGCAGGGACCTCTAGTTAACTGGTTAGGTAGCAGAAACGTCACTCCCTGCCATCCAGGAGAACTGATGCCACAGCTGATCATATTAGACAAGGTATCTCCTATCCACATAAATCCAGGGTACGTCATTAGGGCAGGAATGCCAACTTCCCTGAATTTTTGCAATCTGATTGCCAAACATACAGACCACCCAATCAAGCTCAAGTGAGGTTTTTAAACTCCTCTCTGATTTTAAATGCTTTTCAGCCTCCCTGGTAGGGGTATATATTTTCTCCCCCCATGTTACAAGAGCAAATAAATAAATAGACAAAGAACACAGTTTTTCCCTCTTGTTTGCTTGGAGGAAGGGCATCGGTTCTCAGTTGCTATGCTTCTGGATGGGCAACACTGTGGAACCATATGGGACTTTTTATAAATGTTTGCATTTAACCTTGGGGAGGAAAAGCACTTTTAGACGGGGCGCGGCACAGGAAAATCAACTCGGGGCGGGGGGAATTGCAGATGGTCATAACAAAGGAATTGTTCAGTCCATTTTGCGGTTTTTTCCCCCTCTTATAGACTAACCTTGGGTTTTACCTCCTAAAGGTATTCCATTCCTCTTCGCTCTGTTTGTTTTGATGATGTTACAAGTAAACAAATGCTTTTTGCTTTAAAATGTGGATAATTTGATAGAAGTGCACTCCAAAAATCTTGGGCTGGCGTTGCATGGTTTTTAGCTGTTCTTTCGATTCCCTTGGCTACTGAGATTTCGCATTAATAATCGGGCCTCGGCCAGCTTAATGGAAAAATAATGTTAATTTCATTTCTCTTCTGATCCTAACCATGCCCTATTTGCCAGAGATATTAGCTTTTCACTGACAGTAATCAGAAGCATTGCATCAGATCCTGTTTTGAAATAAAAGATAATGGGAGAGGAAGAAGAGAAACGAGGAAAGTCTTGAACTTTCTCGGTGTCACTCAATTACAATGTCCATCATCCCTGATCGCTAACCATAAAGCTTGGGATGGTTGAGAACTGGTGCGCAGTGTGCTGAGGGCCACATATTACCTACCCTTGTGACAAAGCAAGTAAACTCTCTTCCCCCCCAATCATCTGAAGCTGACTCCTTCTAATCTTTTCCAGCGGCCTATCATGGTGTCAGTTCTTCAAGGTAGATCAGACTAAGAAACCGATGCCACATAGGTCAATACTACTGTTATTGCAATAGATATATTAACAGAATCTTGCAAGTCTGAATGTGCTTCCCCCCCCCTCCGTTTTTCTTTGTGAGAACTAGGGAGGGGCTTGTCTGAGATGTTTACTCACGTTACTTTCTTGGCCCGGACTCAAGCCCCACTTATCGGACCATTGCTTTGGTGGCAGCTTTTTCTCCTGCCCTTCAAGGCCATTCCCTCTTCTCTCTACACATGGAGGGTGGTCAAAAGGCTAAGGAAATTAGCAGTGGGGTTGACATAGCAATGGAGGGGAATATGTGTAGCTCAGGGTTGAACTGTGGAGTCCTTGGGGTTCTCTGAGCTTGGTTCTTTTCTTGCAAATGTTTCATTACCCGGCTAGGTCACCTCTTCAGTGTTCACTGAAGATGTTACCTAGCCGGGTAATGAAACGTTTGCAAGAAAAGAACCAACCCAAGGGATTGACATAGTTGAAATCAAATTATTACTGATTGCTTGATTGTTTGAATCCATGTATATAGCCTCCCATCTCATAGCAGTGACTCAGGGTGGTGCGCGTTAGATTAAAACCAACCACATGTAATAATGATCAATATATTTGCTGAACAGGGATGGATACAGTACACCCATCTGTGAGCACTGCCTTAAGAGAGGAAATGGAGACAGAAATGGAGATAATAAATAAGAGCAATGTGGGGCAGGAGATGAAAGTTATTTGGGGCCAGTTTTACATCATTCACATCTCCGAGGTGGGCCAATTTGGGAAGGCTGGGGGCTGTCCTTTATGGCTGTGCTGGTGGGGGAATCAAGTGTCAAACTCTTCAGGAGGACAGCAGGTAGAGAGATGATACATTGGTTATATCGCATTCTGCTTTTTCTCTGGAGAGCTTAAGGTAGCTTATATGGGGATCTCCCCTTCTTTTATCTCCACAACAATCCTGTACGTTAGGCTTGGTCAGAAGAGATTGGCCCAAAGTTAGCCCCTTGTAGAGTTAGCCCATGCACAAAGATAGTACCTTGACTTGACCCAAGTCAAGAGCACTTGACTTGGCTCTACTCAGCACCAGTCCAGCCCATACGTCTTCCAGTACTCTGGTGTACTTGTAATCGCTATCCAGGGTACTGAATGTCCTTCCAAAAACCTACTTTGTTCACTTGTCCTTAACTGATTCCTTTGGCCTAGACCAGTGTTTCTCAACCTTGGCCACTTTAAGATGTGTGGACTTCAACTCCCAGAATTCCCCAGCTAGCATGCTGAGGTTGAGAAACACGGGCCTAGACTGTCTCCAATCTACTTGGCAGAAGCCCTGATGGAGCAAGCATCTGCTCCCTCTAGCATCTACCTAACCATAGAGTTGGGTCTGCAAGAAAGTCCTGTGAAACTCAAAGGCAGGACTGAGGCGAATGCAATCAGGAATGTGCTAACTTGGTGCATTTCCTATGACAGTGTTGTCCAAACTTGGCCACTGTGGCCAAACTTGGCCAAACACAGCCAGCATGGGGAATTCTGGGAGTTGAAGTCCACTCATCTTAAAGTGGCCAAGTTTGGACAACACTGTCCTATGATGTCCATAAACTCATCCCACTATTCCCTTTCAGGGCAAGCCCAGAAAACAAGAAATAGTGAGCAAAGGAAATTCAAGGCCAGCAATAAGAGTAAAGGAAAGGAAAATCATTTCATTTCATTTCATTTTTGGTCCTTGCAAATCATCTTTCCTTGCACCCCATTACACCACTTCACACACTACTTGTGGTCTCTGGGCTTGGTGGTTTGCTTGCAGACATTTCATTACCCAACTAGGTAACCTCATCAGTGCGAGGGACTGTGGGGTTGGCTCCCTGTTTATATGCAATAGCTTTGCCCTGCCAGTGTTGGTGGAGGTGTGGTTTTCCCCTTGGCAGTTCCTTGATTAGGGTATTGATTAGGGTATTAGGGATCTCATCATTGCCATCCAACTCCAACTTCCTTAGTCTTCCCCTTCTTCTTGACCTATTCACTCTTCTGTGATTTGATTAACGCTATCGTAATCAAACACCCACATCCCCTGTAGATAAATGATTCAACTGTGAAGCAAGGTGTGAGATGTGGACATCTCACCTTACTAGGCAATTCTAAGCCCTCCCATAACACACAGCTGAAAGGACTCTTGTAACCACTGCTAACTTCAGCATGAAATCTCCCCAAACGCTTGAATTGCTATAGAAATACTGAACATTATTACATAACGGCCTCCAGATAAAGTGCTTCCCACTGTGCGAGCAGCTATTCCTTGGGCAGGATCAAGGTAGAACATTTAGTCCCCATGCACAAGTTGAGGGGGTTGATCCCCAACTCCACCTAAGGCTGAGAAAAACCATCAGAAACCAGGGAGAACCAGGACAGTCAGCTGTGTGGAGAAATCTACCACCTGTCAGCTGTGCTGGGATTCCAATTTCCATCACTCCCCTAGGCTGGGCTGGTTGGTGATGATGGGCATTGCAGTCCCACCACATATGGAGGGCACCAGGCTGAGGACAAGTGAATACAAGCCATACACAACCAGAGCTGGCTTACCGTGGTATAATGGACTATACAAAGTATTGCAATCATCAAGATACCGATGAGAATAGATGCAATGGCGACCAGCAACGCGGTGTGGCCCAGTCTTTTCGACCCTTCTATGTCTCCTTGAGTGTAACTGTTTAGCGCCTGCAGAAGAAACAAGAAGAAGGAAACTGTACCCATGGTTAAACAAACCAACATGAACTTCACCCATTCTGTTACTGAGGAGGTCAAGACCTGTTGGGGACTTCTACACAGAATGGCTTTTTCACAAACTAGTTTGCTTGGGTGGCCATCAGTCTTCCTTGGAATATGCCTCCTTTGGCATCAGAAGATAATAATGATTTTTATTACTTGTTAGATCTGATACAAGCACCAATTTTCTAAACACTTTGGGTGGGATATGAAGTAAAAAGATTGTGTGCTTAAAATAAAAGTAATGGAAGAAAGGGAAAAGGAAGGCAGGAAGGCAGGAAGGCAGGAAGGCAGGAAGGAAGGTGATGCAGTGGTAAAATGTCAGCTCCAAAAGGCCACAGCAGATTCATTTCTCTACAGCCTCTGACCTAGAGCTGCTCTATCTGGGCTACAAAAAAATCCAGATGACGCCCTAGATGGCAGCAGAGAGACTCAAAAAGCTCTACTTCTTTACTGCCCTCTAGTGGTTCTCTCAGCCAAGACAGAGCATCCTCCCCAGAGGTGGGTCTCCTGACCTGCCTTGGGGCTCAGACCTACTGGCTTCATAAAAGCCATGGCTGAATGGTGGCTATTCAGGAGAGGAAACCAACTCCGTCTCCCACAACAAAGTTGGAACCCGACTGTCAAATCTGCAAGCTGTGGGGTCCAGAAGCCTGGGCATTCCTGCTGAAGGAGAAGCTGGTGAGAAAGAGCTGAGAGATAGATGAAGGACCAGGCCTTTCTCCAGAGGACAAGGGGATCATTTTTTCCACCAATCTGGCTGATCCTGAGCTCAGTTGACTCCAAGCAACATGGTTCCATGGAAAGTGATCTGCATAACTGTGTATGGAAGTAAAATACATGGCTGGGTTTACACCCCCCTCTAAAGCATAATGTGGTTGGCTTGATGTTGGCTTGGGTGTGGTTCTGCTCTGTTCTGACCATCTGGCTCTGTTCCCACAATACCACAAAGTAACCAACCACATCTTAGTTTAGCACAGTGTTTCTCAACCTTGGCAAATTTAAGACATGTGGACTTCATGGCTGGCTGGGGAATTCTGGGAGTTGGAGTCCACGCATCTTAAAGTTGCCATGGTTGAGAAACACTGGCTTAGCATGTTATGGAGATCCAGCCTGTGTGATTACTTCATGGTTCTGTCTATCACGTCAACCACAAAATTACAAAATTGCCCCCGGTTAGGGAAGTTGTACAAATGCCTGGCATGGCCTCTCTAGCCTGTGTTGTCTGACCAGACTCCTATCATGTCCCGGGGGTTACGGTGTGCACTTCTCTCTAACCTACACGTTTGCCTGTATGACAAATATAAGAGATCAGCATTAAATATTCTCCTGATTCCCAGAAAATGGACTCTGAGATGGTTGTGAGGATAATATTTGATCATAAACAGCACAGGTTGCCTTAAGCTCTGAAGTGGAAGAAAAGAAAATTGCACGCAGCCAGCCGTGCACGAACCAATTACACCCCCCCAAAAGCACAAACAGCAGCCAGTTGACTCAACACGCCTTCGCTCTCTTCCCTGCTCTTTGAAACATGAAGATACAGTTCAGCACAAATAGATCTCATTACAGCAAGTGGATACCAAACCCTGCGCAGGTAGAAATTCGAGCCCCAAGGGCCAAGCCGGAAATTTTGGATCTCTTTGATGTCATTAGTAATTAGACCAGTGTTTCTCAACCATGAGAACTTGAAGATGTGTGGACTTCAACTCCCAGAGTTCCCCAGCCAGCCATGCTGGCTGGGGAACTCTGGGAGTTGA